CCCGAAAAATGACCAAGATGCCCAAACAGAGGAACTGTCCCTTCCTCAGCTTGTGGGTTTGCAACCAGCAAGAGCAGAGAGCAGAACAGCTAGTTACACATGCCCTAAATAAGATGTCAGAGCAGGCTCACGTGATCCAATACCAGCTGGCCAGCACTTGATCAATAATGTGGACCTAGGAAGAAGCAAGCTGGGGCTACACCAACTTTCAGCATTAACTTCTTATACTTTTTTCAGGGAATTAAGGGACTCTGCCCTTCACTTTTCAGCCATATAAGAAAATAATACTACTTGAGTTTTTTAAGTATTTTGTGGATTAGGAAGTACTTTTAAATGCATTATCCAGCCCAGTCTTCATGAGAACCCAGTGAACTAAGATTTCTTATCTCTTTGCTGCAATGGGAAAACTTGAGTTCAGAACAAGTGACTCACCATGAGCCTCTAGTTGGTCAATGATCCGTTATGAACTAAGAACTCTTTGGATTTGTTCTGTTGCCAGAGAAAATGATAAACACTAGATGGTGTGGTGATTCTTGCCAAAAAGTTTAAAACAAAAGTGAGAAGTTAACATCTGAGTTTCCTTTTCCATTTTTTCCTCATACATTAAGTATTTTATTTAACCAATTATCTCAACTGCCTCTAAACAGTATAAAGTTATCCTTCACATAGAATTTATTTTAATATTTATCAACCCAAACCTAGAACTAAACAATGATTTTACAAGTTATTTCATCTGCTATATATTCATTTTCCCTTCCATTATATGAAATTACCATGTTAATTATCATTAACATTTGAGTATTTATTATTTACAAGGCACTGCGCTAGTTGCTTTTATATGAATTATTTTATTTTGTGCTAAAAACAACCTTATGAAACCAGGACTGATTCCTTATTATCCACATTTTCTAAATAAAGATTCTGAAGCTTTTTAAAAAAGTTAATAGACTGGCCGGCACCACAGCTCACTTGGCTAATCCTCCGCCTGTGGCGCTGGCACCTGGGTTCTAGTCCCAGTTGGAGTGCCGGATTCTGTCCCGGTTGCTCCTCTTCCAGGCCAGCTCTCTGCTGTGGCCCGGGAGTGCAGTGGAGGATGGCCCAAGTGCTTGGGCCCTGCACCCACATAGGAGACCAGGAGGAAGCACCTGGCTCTTGGCTTCAGATCGGTGCAGCGCGCTGGCCGTAGTGGCCATTTTTTTTGGGGGGGGGTGAACCTAAGGAAGGAAGACCTTTCTCTCTGCCTCTCTCTCTCACTGTCTAACTCTGCCTGTCAAAAAAAAAAAAAAAGTTAATAGACTTACTCAAGTTTTCTTAGCTAACAAGAAGGTGGGGCCACAATTCAAACCAGGATACTTCATTGCCAAACAGGTGCCTCTACTTATGAGGTCCAAAGTTCCTCCCAACACCTGCCCCAGCAGGCGGCAGAATTCCTTAAGAAAGAAAGGCAATCTCAGCAATCCCTAAGTCTCAAGGTTGTGTGTGCTATTACTGACAGGGTGGTGTGGGCATGGGACATCGCGTACTTGTCATGCTTCAGCTAGGATGACAATTTCAGTACACTTCACACAGATTGAGAGTAGCACTGAAATTGGTTTTGAATAGACACAGATGCATTGTGAGAAATGGATGACAAGTACCTCCCAGGAACCTCCCTACTCCCAGCCAGGGGTCAAGACCCTAGATTTATGAGATATGAAAATACAATCAGTTAGCACAGGAAAAGAGAGAAAGGTAAATGGCTCATATAGGTGTCAAAGACACAAATCTGCCCTCATTAATGTGCATCATTACCCCAAAAAATTAAATAGAAATGCAGTGAACTTGAAAGCAATTATCCAGGAACTCTTATAATAGAGAAAGAAAATATTGTTCTCTTTCTCATTTTACCATATTATTTGCCAAACAATGCATTAAGTTGACCTTATATAGAAATAAAAAGTTATCTCTGTGTGCTGGTGGCCCAGGAGGGATCCTTGGGCCCTCCTGATCCTGGTCTCTCCCTTGGCACCCACCGCTGGGGTAGTTGCCAACAGCACTTTAATTACCATAGGTCTTTGAAGCGAAGCAGGAAAGGCAAAAGTTTTGACATGATTTTAAAGAGACTCTTAACCGGTTGGATAGATTTTTCAGTTTAGTTACATATGGGCCCCACTTTTAGAACATCTTACATGTGCTCTTTTAAAACAGTAAAAGTTGAGAATAAACCATATTTTAAAATCCCACCACTCTCTACACAAATAGCCTTTTTCCATTTGGTTATCATTTTTCTCTACCAAAGGACACAAAGCAATTACACAGGGGACAGAGGACCTGAGACATGGTGAAGGCTTCCACCCCCAAATTCATTCTCTGCCAGAAACTCAGGAATCTGCTTGCAGTCAGCGAGCTCAAATACTGCACACCAGAGACCCAAGGTCACGCTGGAGATAAATTCTGAAAACATCAACAACATGAAAAAAGTAAAACCTGATTGTGTCCACATAATTGTTTTTTAAAGATACTGTAAGCCATTCACTGACATGATTCGTGAGAAAGAAGAAAAGACAAATCCATTACAAAGCAGAGATCAGATGTAATAAAGAGCACCATTCTCAGTGTAAGGTTTGAAACTCAAGTTGGAATCCTGCCTGCTGGCATCCCTGTGCACTGGTCACTGCAACCACAGAGCCCCTGAGTCCCTGTCTATCAAATCCAACCTGAAAGACAAGACTGTTGTGGGGAAGAAATAAGGACCCAGGGAATGTGCCTGGCACATAGGAAGGCTCCAGCATCATCTTTTGGACCCAAATCTGAACAATTGAGATGACAGCTTTCAGAGATGAAACTCGAGCAACTGAGTCACAGGGTCACATTGTCATGCAGAAAACATCAACTCCCTGATTAGGTAAAACCATGTCGCTCTACTTAAAAACCACAAGGCATTTGTTGGTTTAAAACAGGCAAGTTAGAAATATATTACAATTGTCATTAGGCTCAGATAACCAGTCTAAACTATGGAATGTACAAGGATAATTTATCAGAAGGCCAAATTGATTTAACTGAATTATCACAGAAAAATCCGAAATCTAATTACAGGCAGCAACAATTTCAAGAGAGCTGCTAGGTCTAAACACAAAGAAGCCATGTCGTAGGCTGACACTAAAATTCAGTCATGCTGTGTTTCATTTATTTGATGAAAAGATGTCAGATATGAATCTCTGGACAACTGAGGCTTTGTACATTACTGAGGAGTTCCTGCAGGTGATGCCATGTTAAAACTGTGCAAATGGTCATCCCTCACTCTACCTTGGGCATTAAAATCTCATCTATGACTGACTACTCACAGCCATGCCCCATTACTCGGGAATCCTGAGAGTGAAGAGGGCCAGCGACATGAGCCCAGCAACGTGGGCCTAGCCTGGATACTTGTGAAGAGTCAGGTTCTCCAATTCAGCCCAAGTTTGAGTCCTGCCTCTGACATGCATTTGTTATTCAAACTCAGACAGGTGATATACGTCTCAGCCTCTTTATCTGTAAAATGGAAATAACAATCAGTTAGCTCTAATAGTTCCTAACTTAGTCTTACGAAGCACTGAGAAAAAGAAGTGTCAAATAATCTGAGCTGTTGCCATCTCCTTCATCCAGGCCCACACAGACACCAAGGAGGGGCTGCTCATCTCGGAGCCCTGTCCATTAAATTCTTGTATTTTGCTCTTCACAAAGCACCCAAAGCTTTTAAACCCTCCCAAGCCCACTGAGGACAGCAACTTCCAGACACAGTGATAGAACACTATCTTTTCACTTACAGAGAAATTAGAAAAAGACAGGTGCTTCTCTCTTTCTTGCCCTAGGACATCTGAAAGTGCTAAAGAGGGGCTGCCCTTGTGGTGTAGCTGGGAAAGCCGCTGCCTGCACCACCGGCATCCTGTATGGGTGCCAGTTCGATTCCTGGCTGCTCCACTTCCAATCCAGCTTCTTGCTGATGCACCTGGGAAAGCAGCAGAAGATGGCTCAAGTACTTGGGCCCCTGCACCCCATGGGAGACCTAAAAGAAGCTCCTGGCTCCTGGCTTTTGTCTGGCCCACTGACTCATCTCTGAACATTGCCTCCACTTGGGGAATGAACCAGCAAATAAAAGATTATTTTATATCTCTTTCTCTCTCTCTCTCTCTCTCTCTCTCTCTCTTTTCTGTAACTGTACCTTTCAAATAAATAAAATAAATCTTTTAAAAGGAAGAAATAAAGAATACATGTTGATTGGGTCGGCGCTGCGGCTCACTAGGCTAATCCTCCGCCTTGCGGCGCCAGCACACCGGGTTCTAGTCCCGGTCAGGGTGCCGGATTCTGTCCCGGTTGCCCCTCTTCCAGGCCAGCTCTCTGCTGTGGCCCGGGAGTGCAGTGGAGGATGGCCCAGGTGCTTGGGCCCTGCACCCCATGGGAGACCAGGAGAAGTCCCTGGCTCCTGCCATCGGATCAGCGCAGTGTGCCGGCCGCGGCAGCCATTGGAGGGTGAACCAACGGCAAAAGGAAGACCTTTCTCTCTGTCTCTCTCTCTCACTGTCCACTCTGCCTGTCAAAAAAAAAAAAAAAAAAAGGAATACATGTTAATTGATAAATTCTTTCCATGCATCCTTGATTCTCACCATCATTATTTTCTATAAATACAGAAATTCTTTGCTATATAAGACTCTTCCCATAAAAAAGTGGCAGATACCAGGGAAAAGCAGAGAGCATGGGACTTAATTAATTACCCTCAGTCAGGCACCAATCAAACAGTACTCTTATGTGCTTATCTGATAAGCTGGGACTAAATCACAAGCCATTACTGACCATTAATGTGCATAATATTATTAGGTTTTCACAAATCTGACCTTTGATATGAAGAAGGCAGGCTTGATCAAGACTGTGGGATACTAATGACATAAAGTGGAAGAGGATATGAAAAAAAATATTGACAGAAATTCCCCACAAAATATGAAACCAGTACAGAGAATATTTAAAGGAGGCAAAATAAGGCTGACCTCAGACTGAGCTGGCACCAGAGGTCCTGTCCGCTCTGCTCAGCTCCTTCCAGAAGCTTTACAGACCACTGAAGTTGGACAGAGAAAGGTAAAAAAAAATATTTGAAGAACTCTCAAATCCTGTGAGTGTTTAACTTTGCTGAAGGTGGGGAGAAGGTTCATTTGACCCACGGGCTTTGTGGCCTGTTTGCTGTTCTCTTTTAGACTTGAAAATCTACTTCCAGTCTCAAGGACTCCTGGCGAGGACCAGGGCAGAGCTGACAAAGCAAAGAAGGCTCACAGGAGAAAAGAGAAAGAGCCTTTTGGGAGCGATGTCCTCCTAGCAGCCCAATAGCTAGAGTGAGTGGTAAAGTGCCCAGGACATTGTTCATTCTTTCATGCAAACAAGGGGCTTTTACAAATTATTTCTGTGCAAAAACTCCTCTAGGAACTCAAGAAATAAAGACAAAAAACACTGGCTCCCCATCATTAAGGGGATGTATAGGGGAAATCAATAACACACACACAGAGACACACACACACCACGTTTATACAATGGGATTCCATATGACAGGTGCTAAATGCAAGATGTGAACACTATCTGAGTTCCGGAGGATGAAATGTTGAAAGGGCAATGAGGGTTGACAGGGAGAAGGTCTCAAGGACAATCATGTCTTGGTCCAAAAGAGGGAAAAAGAGTATGCTAAAAAGACAAGCTGAGGTGAAAACCATGGGAGGAGGAAAAGTACTCTAGGTGGAAGTATCAGCATACACCGAGGGCCAGAGATATTGGAGCACCATAAGTGTTGGTTGGATTCGCAGAAGTGGGAAATATGTGAGGAAGGGGGAAACTGGGGAGAGGGTGTCTGTCGGTCACATCACAGGAGCTGGGTATGCCCTTCCAAGTGTCTGCACTTAAGACAGAATTTCTCTCCAAGAATGAGCAGCATGCATTTGGCTGGAATGTCCCTTGTCCTCTGAGCTCTCTGCAACATGAGACTGTGGACGGATGGAGGGGGAGAGATGCCCAACAGTTATGACTTCAATAAACAACATTAATCATCAGTTATAAACAAAAAATGTGTGGCATTTGTTCTTCCAGTTGATTATGGTCCTAAGGGAATCCTGTGCCCTCTAATTTTCTAAAATTTTAAGGTAAATGCTTAAGGATGACAGATGAAAACAGGAGGTTAGTCTTTTTTTAATTTCCCTAATCTTAACCTTAGGAGTGAAAAAGAAATCTTCCTCTCTGTCTCCACACCCACGCGGAACCCTGGGTTCATGCTGTTAGCAGGGCTGTGGTGCCTACGGTGGTTTCTTCTTGTCGGTTGCAGCTCTGAATTACAACCTGAGTAACTCCACACCGGAGGCTTGCATTTCAGGTTTGGCTTTTAGGGATTCAAGATAAAAGGGACACATAGTTCTAAGAAGAGTCTACAGTTACTGGGAAGGAGCAAACCTTGTTGGGAAAGAGGAAGGAGGGTGTGAGTGCCAACCTCATGCAACTCTAAGCTCACTGGATTTCTTGGTTCTGTCTTGCACTATCCTTCCTCCACCTGCCCCTGGCCCAATTTCTGCTTCATGATCTCAAGCCCCTTCCCCGTCACATAGTTAAGAAGCAACTATAAAATAAGGATCAATTCTCAAGGAATTACTTGGGGGGAGGGTTTATATTCATCAGTTCTACTGAAATTCTCCCTAGAAAGCTGAAAAAGATCAACAAATGAGCTCTCCTTTTCTCTCTCTCTTTCTTTCTCTCTTTCTCTCCAGGACAAATACATGGGATTGTGTGGTATTTCAATGTCTAAAATACATGAAGATTAACCATAGGGCTCTAGGCATTGTTCTCAGCACCTTCTAGAGATGTCTTCACTTTACACTGAAAGTATGAGGCTTGCCAAGGGCTCATGACTAATGAAAAATAGAGCCAAGAATTAAATCTCAGGAGTCTATCATTAGAACCCTGCGTATCTACTATATGATAAAGTCTTCTAGTGGAAATGCATCCATGAAATCTCCTGGATATAGAAAATGGACAAATTTTCACTAAAACCTCTTGAATGAAAAGTATTGAAATGGACGAACTTGGATTATAGTATCTTCCAGGACTCTGATTGAAACTCACCTAGTATTCATGTAACGTTCAAGGTTGATGATAAAGCGTGACAGGTCATGCATTTGATGTGGCCACTGCTCCAACACTGGTACTCCAGCCCCAAATGTCTGAACTACTGAACCATTGTCCACTCTGATTGTGAACAATAGGACCTTGAATCTTCTGACCCTAACGTTCCCAGATCACCAAATCTCTAATCATGGACTTACATAACGCATCTGCCCTGCTGACATGCACTCCCTGGTGTACTACGTCACAGCACTAAACATTCCTCCATCCTCACATATTTTTCAGCAAACAGAGTGAGTATCAGCTGCAGCATAATATGCCTGTGGGGTTGTATGAAATTTAGTGGGGTAAGTCTACAGCAAATGCCACAGAATGCTTCAGACAGCACTGTTTCCAGAGTGCTCAGCAAATCGCACTGTCCCATAGAGCTGCGGATGCAGGAACAAAGGCCTCCAGCTTTGTCTCCACTTGTAAGAAGACTGAATTAAAGTTGCCAGGGAAACAAAACCCAAGTTTCCTATTAAATTTACTTTCAGCTCATGTGTCACACCTCTTGCCACCTGGATGAAACATAATACAGAAAGAACTACAGTTCTTTTATTAAAAGCTCTAAGAGCACATATTTCCCAGGTAAAGAAAATCCACAGGAGGATAGGTTTGGGCAAATCTCATCACAGAAATGATTCAGCCTCCTCTAGATTTTAGTATAAGCTGGAAGAAAATCATATCAAATGACACACTGTGTGTATTTCTGTAACAGAGCACAGAACCCAAGGTTTGCTCTTGTCTATTTCTAGTGGTCGCAGAGGCAACCTATAGACTCAGAACTTATGGATATATAAAAAAATAAAAAAAGAACTTATGGATAAATTATGATTAAGATAAATCAACAACAGAAAAGAGATTTTTGAACAAATGCTATAATGAGGGAGTCTGAGTGTGGTTGGAGAGCAGGAAAGATGGGAAAGAAGACGGTATATGGTGGAACCAGCTCATCGTTAGGGGAAAAGCATAGACATTCAGGAGTAAGTTGGTCAGTTGCCTCTGACATCGTATGCTCAATGGAAGGACTATGAGGATATTTCATATATTTTGTGGAAAAAATACAATTAAAAGATAAGTTCGGGGCCAGTGCTGTGATGTAGTGGGTAAAGATGCCGCCTGCAGTGCTGGCATCCCATATGGGCACTGGTTCGAGTCCTGGCTGCTCCACTTCCTATCCAGCTCTCTGCTATGGCCTGGAAAGCAGTAGTTCATGGCCTCTGTGCCACATGGCATTAATTCCAATTGCTAACTAATTCCTTGAACCAATAGAAAAATAGAAAATCTCCTCTTGGTGTCTGCACACTGCAAAACTGAGCCCCCAACTCCACCACAAACCTGACCAAGTGTGAACCTTGAACTAAACACTGCATGGGTTAATGTCAAGGGGATTACATAAGAGTGTCAGAGGATACAGACACCTTAGTGAAAAACTGGGCAAAAAAGTCTCATCTGGCTGTAATAGAATTGAAGAATGTTATTTGTCAAGGAGTGAGGGCACCAGAAGTATTCAACAACAAAATGTTTCTAAGTAGATTATCTTTATGATGCCCTCCTTTCGGTGTTATGCCAATATAATGAATAAAATGTGATTTGCTAAAGTTCATTGCACAGGGAAAACAGAACATATTGGGTCAAGAATGTACAGCCAGTCACTGTAGAGACCAACCTGCATGACAGAGAGATGGCAGAATGCAATGTACAAAGCACCAACATTGGGACAATCTTATCAGCAATTGGTAAGTTGATGGTTTGTTACTGCTTATATAGTTCAAGAATAATCACTATTTCAAAGTATTGAATTCCAACATACACACGTACATACAATATACTAAAGCATCTTTCTTCATTGTTTTTCCTTAAACATTAAAAATTTCAAAAACATTAGGAATAATTCAAATCATTAATGTTTCAAATAATTGTATTTTCTCTATGATGGAAACAAATAGGAATTACTGATCAACAAAAGGAAACCACACCACTCAAATAACTGAGTTGGTAGCAAAGCACACCAGGATCAGGCTTTGGCCTAGTGGTTAAGACTCCAGCTGGGATGCCTATATCCCATTTCAGAGTGCCTGGGTCTCAGTCCTGACTCCACTCCTGCTTCTAATATGCACCAGTTTTCTAATATGCACTCTGCAAGGCTGCAGGTGATAGACCAAGTGGCTGTGTCTCTGCAGCACATAAGAGACTAAACTGAATTCTGGTCTCTCAGCTTTGGCTTAACCCAACCTGAGTTATTGCGGGCATTTTGGGAGTGAATCAGTGGCTGGAAACTGAATCTATTTTTCTCTTGCTTTCTCTCCCACCCACCCCCACCTCTCTCCTCAAATAAAAAATAAATAAAATTTAACAAAAAATAAGCACATCAAGTTTGCATATTAAGGACCTGTAGGAAATCAATCTCCACATTGTACCTGGCATCTGTTTCTGAGATGGTTCAATCCAAATGACTTTGGCTGAGTACTCAGCTTGAATGCCCCAGGATTGTATCCTAACCAAAAGCCACCATGACAAATAAAAGGAAAGCCAATTCCTTTGCCTGATTTTATTCCCCCATTGAAAATGTTCAGGTTGGATAATTTATTACCCCCCATTCTGTACTTTCTAATTTCTAGGAAAGGTTGTAAAAGCATTCTGTTTTTTCTGGCAGTCCAAGTCATGGTCCCTCTGTAATTACAGTATAGTAAGCAAAGATAAGTTATTATCTCCCCTTTATTTGTGAAATACTGTCATGTAATTAACTGAATTTCAGTGCACAAGGGCCATACACTCTGGGAGGGAACATTCAAATGTGAAATGTCCTTTATGACAGCATATGTTTAGCATCACACAGAAGCATCTGAGATTGTCTTAGCCACATGGTGATGGCAACAATTTGTGGTGTTCACGTTTCTT